TTGAATCTCAAAAAATGTTGTTTTTTAAGTTTCAGTTGGTAAGAGTTCTACGGCGCTCACAACAGGGATATGTCTAGAGTTTTAGTCAGAACACAATGTACTGTTTATGTATTACTTTTGTATTTGTATAGTGCTCAGAGTCTGTTTGCTTTAATCAGGGTTGAGCGTTTTATAAATGTCATATACAGACTAGCACGCACACAGTGAAATCAGCAGGATGTGAAAATCTTTTCTTTATGAATGAATTTTGCAACGGATGTGTAACATTTGAAAAAGGTTTTTTTTCCGTTTAAAAGGTCTCCTATAGTTGATAAAGAAATTGACATTAACTTTACCTTCTTTATGTTGTGATTGTTAAGAAAAAAAGACTATAAATTTATTTCTCAAACATATCTTCAGGCTTAAAATAAATTGATTTTTCATTAAGGGGAAGAAAGAGTATGTTTCTTGTTGTTATTTAATATGTTTACTTCAAAAACAATAATAATATATACATAAACATGCTCTCTCTCTCTCTTTCTCTCTCTCTCTCTCTCTCTCTCTCTCTCTCTCTCTCTCTCTCTCTCTCTCACACACACACACACACACACACACACACACACACACACACTCACTCACACACACACACACCTACTCTCTCCATCTTCTCTCCTCTTTCCTCCCTGATCAAACACATACAAATACACACACCTATTATTAAATATGTAACAGTGTCTTGATCTAGTTTCCCTGTGTCTCTGTGTAGGCAAATGTCCAGAGAACAGCTCAACACACTGACCAGCCGGGCGGGGAGCTGCGAGCAGTTCATCCAGTACCAGTGCACTAACTCTCCCATCAAGTACGCCATCGGCACAACTGTGTCTGATCAACTGTGGTTGTTTTGTCCATTTCACCCTTAGAAATTTCTGTTTTCTAACCTCATACCTTTGCTATTGCTAGAAAATTGATTGCAGGTTAGCTCTGTGTAGCCTACCTCGTTGATAGAGTAAGTTAAAAATATTTTTTCCTTGTGACAGCTGTAATATACAAACAGGACACATTTTTCAGTCTAAGAACGTTATTAGCAAATTTTGTTAAGGCTATATATTTTAGCAACAGTCACTGTCTATGAAATCAAAACAATTTTTTTGTACAAGAAATAAATGTATTTCATTTTCAAAAGCTTTTTTGTACTCCCATTTCACTAATTACCCGAAACAGGTTGTAGTTCTTTTTCCTGAACTTTCCTTGATGGTTTGATACTCCTGCATTATCCTTCATTAACTAAGGAATATAAGCCAGATATGGTTCTGTCCCCTTTCTTATTCATGGTTATTTCCCTTCCCTGATCTTTCCGTTCTGTTGAATGATCCTGTTGATTTTGACAGAGAACTCAGCTCAACGAGTCACCCCACCCCATGGAAGGGATATTATTCTTTTTCTAATCACGAGGATCATCACCACTAGGTTTCTTCCCTTCGTGGTGTCATTTTTAAAAAAGATTTTCCTTTCATCCTCATGTTATAACAGCAGAGAGGAGGTGGTTGGAGGGCATCACTGGTAGCTCCTACTTCTTTTTTGTCCCTCTGTTGTTTCTAATTTGCTTTTTCCTCACACTGAAAGTTATTATCATCTTTTTAATGTGTCTATACGTGCTTCTCTTTTCTCAAACAAAAAAATTAGCAGATATAGCTGAACTTTCTTTTATGGCCACCTGTCTAAAACATTCACCTATACAAATGACTACTTCCCATATCCCCCTTGCATTTTTTTCTATTGTAATAACATTGTCCAAGACGTCCAGCTGTCAAAGATAAATATGCTGATGGCCATCTTGGACAATCTTAACTCTAATTAAAACTGCAGAAACTGCCCAATTAGGAAAGAAAGTGAGATAATTTGGGTTCTTTTCATGCTACATTCATCTGACTCATGCTCTGTCCCTAACCTTCAGATTGAGCACCAAGACGTGGTTCAAGGCCACAAACGGTGAGATCGTGGACTACATCGGCTCCCACCACTCGGGGTTCTGTGAGTGTCCGGCCCAGTCTGGGTGTGAGGGAGAGAACTGTTACTGTGACCTCAGTGAGTTGATGGTAGAGTGTTGTGGAATAACATTGAATCACTGTCAGAATACTGTTTAGGCCTATGTATCTGGCATTAACACTATTGGTAACAAAATTGTTAATCCATAGCACATGCATGTGACTATGGATCTGTTTAGGTTGGAAAACAAGGTCAATATTTTCAGTACTTTTGGCATGGAAGCTCATGGTCATGAAAGAATTTGACTGCCCAGCATAAGACTCCATCATACATCACTTTTCCAAATGACGTTTGGCAGAGCCATTCACTAAGCAGTCAATTTCTATTCAGGGTTCACTTTTTTAATACTGGTAAACTTGTATATTCTTTTATGTTTCAATTGCAGACAGAGGACGGCCTTACACAGACAAAGGGTACAACAGAGAACGCCGCCAGCTACCACTTATGGAAATGACGTTTATACAGAACAAGAAAGGAATGGCAGCAATGACATTGGGTCCTCTCAAATGCTGGGGAAGCTGTGAGTGTCTTTTGAAAAATCCTTAACCCTCCAAGTGTCGCTAGCCTGTGTATCAGGAGAAATTACATGATTTAACCCTACTATTATTATGTTGGAAAATGCCTGACACAGGCAAACCAAGCACAAAAAAACTATATATTTTCAAAAATTAGAAAGAAAATAGGAAGTAGATCTCATTTGGGAAGGAGTTGTAAATGTTTCATAGTATAAGGAACGAGATAATAAATGACCTGAAACAGTGACTCAAATTACACTAGGAGGGTAATGAAGTGGTCTTGAAGAGCTGTGGTCTTTTGCTCCTTAACTGGAACGTTTATTTACACCTTTAATAGATGAGTGTGCTATTACCCTCTGTTGGAATATGGACAATAAATGAAATGGTCTTATCAACTGTACATAGACCACTGTTCAGCATGAGGTGGAGAAATAAACTAGACACTTTTTAAAAATGAATTTGGCCAAGTTTTCAGTTGTAGGCCTACTAAGCCCAAAATTTTGAACATTTTTTTATCGTAGGTTTTAATATGTGGTATGGTTGCATGTGCTGAAGAAATATTTTGTTGAAATTCAAGTTCTTTGTTGAAAAAAGCAAGAAGGAAACAACGTAGGTATTAATTAATTTTTTTTTTATGAAACAGATTTTTCTCTCTCCTTTTAAAAATGATAGTAAAATAATTCTGTTTTTTCTGAGCCAGTGTCTCAGCCGTCATCTCGCTCGATCACCATCACCCGGAGCGAGAGTTTTGTACGTCTTCAGCCATGGACGTCCGGAGACTTGAGGTTCAACTTCAAGACACATCAGACAGAGTCCGTGCTACTCTACCACAGCAGTGGGGAGCAGGAGAGGGGGGAGAACGCTGATGGGGCTAATAAGTTTTATGTGAAGATTATTTCTGGTAAGTTGAATATTTATTATAAACCTCTTTAGATATGTGTAGGCCTACGTATTTTCTAAACAAAGTTGGTTTTTGAGGAAAAAATACCAGTATTATTGATGGGGGTTAAAGGAATTCTTATTATTTTGTTGGAGTTATTCTCTTTAATTTTCAAAGAGAAATGATTAGTGTTTTTTTTAAATTAATTTTTTAGTTTTTTTTACATTTTCCCTTTTATGTTGAGATTTCAAATATTTGGCTGAGAAACAAAGAGCTGTTTCCAGGGATTTGACTGAGTTTGTTTCCAGCTGTTTTGAGTAAAAGTGGAAAATTATGAGATTGTTTAAGAAATTTGCTCTAGATCTAGATAGGCTCTGTGAAACAAACAGTAATTATTTTTTGTCTTATGTGTCTGTCTAGACTGATGTATGTTCATGTTATGCATACAGTATTTATTATGTTTCATTCTTTCGTTGTTGATTGAATACCTTTAAAGATCCCTCTTTTCCTTGTGATCTTGAAAATTTTGGAATGCTCCTGTGCTCTTATGAATGCTGTCCGTTATGATTAAGTATTACGTTTTCTCCCTATGAAAAAAGGTATATGTACTACCTGTACTATTTCACAAAGGAAACTCTTTTCTTCAAGAACACAAAATGTTTTCTTTGAAATATTAGGCCTACTGCTTGTGTGTCATTTATAATTTATGCTGTTACACGGAAGTCTCTCCTGTAAAATGTGAATGTTTTATGTGATGTGGGCCAATGGCCTTAACACTGGATGAAATACCTACATATCTATCTACTTTTTTCCCAGCAAACGAAGTCAAATTTTACATCAGGATCGGGGATTCTATCATATCAAGAACATTGTCAGCACTGAATCCACTGGATAAGGGTGACTGGCATTCTATTTCTATTGAGCACGATCCTTACAATGTGAGGCTAAGCTTGGACTCAACAAAAATCATCGTAGAACTCGAAAAAAAGACAAACGCTGTGGAGTTTTCCGGTGTGCTCTACCTGGGAGGATTAACTGACAAGTGAGTTTTTGTTTGGAAAAGAGAGGAAACATTCATCTGTGACTGTCTGTTCACCGTCGTAAAACGATTCATTTCTGGCAAGAAGAGAAATATTATATGACTTCACATTTGCAGTGTTCTATACCATCCACTTTTCATTTCAATACCTAAAGAAAATGTAATGATAAAAATGTATGTCAAGATCAGATTTTACAATCTCTAGAATTTGCAGTTCATCAACATCAAACATCAGTGTCTTATATTAGTGGAATGTTCAACACAGTGAAAAAAAACATTGCGCAAAGCTGTTCTTACAGGAATGAAGAGCTTTGTTATTTTCTCTGTCTTCTCTGTCTTTTGTTTAGATCACAATTGAGATCTTTTATCTTTGCTGATTTTGAATACTTGACCACAAAACATGAGATGTAATCAGAAATTTTTGTGTGATTTTGTTTTAATTCTTTTCTTTAACAAAGTACAAATTGGGCTTTTTTGTGATTTCTGTACTTTTAAAACTCTGTCCTCAGGATTGACGACCATGTTGTGAAAGGGGTTCCGGGCTTCACGGGCTGTCTGTACGGCTTTGTCTACAATGACCAGTCGATAGATCTACAGGACAAGATAGATGCGAGGTAAAAGAGCAATCTGGAGATAAACTCATTCACTATGTAATTTTCTACCTTCCTGGGGAATATGTTTAGTTTTGTTCGCCAATTTATCAATTTGTTTAGGAAAGCACTTAAATTGTAGCAAAAGAAAGGAAAATGAAAGAGTAATGTGGAAAAGCTGAACATTTTTAGATCAAATCATGAATATTATGTGAGAAACTCTGGATTTTCTCTCTCTCTCTCTTCAATGCCGACAGCACACAGGAACTCAACATTCGCTCGGGGGGTCTTTGAAAAAGGCTGAACGTGGGTCACTGAAATGTCCCAACAAACGTGTTCTGGCACGATACTTGGTGGGACATTTCAGGAACACATAGTCCATAGTCTCGTCCTCCTCCCTGCAGGCTCAACTGGATGGATCTGGGTGGTCCGGTGGTGCAATTTTGTGTAGATATGATTTCAGCTTGGGTGATTTTCCACCAGTTCCCATTGAAACTCTGGATTGGAATAGTTTGAGTATTTATAGGGGCATACGGTCGAGTCGATGATACAGTTCATAGTAGTGATGAGAAAGATGCTACCTCAATCAGTTGACTCATCTTAGTGAATGAATTAATTTATAAGGTTTTACACCGCCACCCACACAATTTAGATCACTTAGAAGCAGGCCACTAGGACCCTGAATGTTTAAGGCCAACCTTGGCTGAATGGGATAAAAAACTTTCCTGAAATCTAATGGAGATTTTCAATAAAGACTTCTCACTTGGGAATCAAACTCATATCTTCCACATGCAGTGAGGAAAAGTTTACCAGCTACACCACAGACACCAGTACCGTTGTTGGTTATGTGTTAATTGATAAATCTTCAGTTAAAACACGCATGCGCTCATATGACCTTATGCAGTTGCGAACGCCATAAAACATTTACACCACCGCCCCCTAAATATATTTTTAAAAGACATGCATCGTAGCATTTGGTTGTTGGAATGTTTTGAGTTTACATAATCCTGGGACTTTGAACTGCTTCAGGTGTAGTAAATTTCATAAAGGTTATGCTTTACATTTCCCTTTTTGTGCACAAAGGAGAGTCATTCTATATAATGCATGAACTGATTTCTGTGAAAGAAATATAGTCGATCTGGTCTATACTGCCGAAAGCTGACAAAACGCCTTTTCTTATTCATAGCAATTTAGAGAAAAAGAGTTTTTTGTTGGCATAACCATTTTTAAAAAGCGTTCTTCCAAAACTTGAATTCTGATTAATTTAAAAACTAGTCATAGTTTTACTTTGATTTTTTTCACACAAGTAGGGTAACTGATCATGCTTTTGATTTAGCAAATAAAACATTTGGGCGCCAAATTTTTTAAAAGGCATTTTGTCAGCTTACAGCAGTAACAGTCAGTCCAGATCACAGAGAAAAGGGACCCCCACAGTGACCACAGATGTTGTGCGATGCACCAAATCAAGCAGTTGGAAATGGAGAGAGGGCCCAACTTTACTTTTATCCTTTTTTTTTCTTTTTCCCAGCATGGGCGGAGTCTCCAAAAACTGCATGTCGTCGTGTTGGCCCAACCCGTGTCAGAACGGCGGTGTGTGCGAGGAGAGGTGGGGAGACTACCGGTGCGTGTGTCACGACCCCTGGGCACATATAGGGGACAACTGTGAACAGGGTGAGTCATCCTTACAGTTTCTTAAAGTCGATCAGTTTTATTTTTCTTTGATTAGAGGGTGAAAATTAAGAGGAAGACCAAGAGTGGATGCATACTTGGGACAGCTGTGAACAAGATGAGTCAGCAATTTAATGTTTCTTTGATTAGAGGATGAGAATAAGAGGAAGACCAAGAGTGGAGGCGAACGTGGGACAGCTGTGAACAAGATGAGTCAGCAGTTTAATGCTTTTTTATTAGAAGATGAAAATAAGAGGAAGACCAAGAGTGGAGGCGTACTTGGGAGGGCTGTGAACAAGATGAGTCAGCAGTTTAATGCTTTTTTATTAGAGGATGAAAATAGAGGAAGACCAAGAGTGGAGGTGTACTTGGGACAGCTGTGAACAAGACGGCCAGTTTGTTTTCTCACCAAGTCAGTTAAGTTTTGTAGAATGAAAACAGGAGGAAAATCAAGAACAGAATGGAACTGTAATATAATATTAGCAACAGACAAGAAGAAAGAAGAAAAAAATGACAAGTGATTTATGTAGGGGTTTAATACACAAACATTTGCTGTAGGTACACCCCCATTCCCAAACCACCCTAAAAAAAAAAACAGTACTGAAAGGAAAATGCATTAAACAAAAGTGCTCATAATTATCATGATGAAAATGATGATAATAATAATAATGATAATAATAATAATAATAATAATAATAATGATAATGATAATAATAATAATAGTAGTAGGAGTCATTATAATAATGTAGATCATTCTTATAGCACCCACTCTCATATGAACACAGCTCTGTGCACTTTACTCAATAAATGTTTTTTTTCTCCCCCAGATCTAAATCAAGACTCTGCTACGTTCGGAGGGCTGCCATTTTCTTACTTAGTGTTTGACGTAACTAACTCTAAAAATATCCTGGACGGCACAGTTGTACTCAGCTTCAGAACTCTGCTGACAGAGGCTTTGCTCATGTACGTGCACGACCACAAAGGGAACTTTGTGCAGCTGGAGCTCAGCGATGCCAAGACTGTCACTGTCAGCTACAGCAACTACAACCAGATAGTCAGGGACTCCGTCACCACGAATGGTACATTTTCTTACCTGGTTTTTTTTCCACTTCTTCTTTTTTACCTGTTTTTTTCCACTTCTTCTTTCTTAAGTTAACTGTTTTCTCTCTTAGCTTTATGCTTTTTTTTCCCCACTTAAGCTTTCTCATCTGTCTTTTTTTAAAATTCAAATTATGCCTTCTTTTCACTATTGTTTTTTCAATTATTCCCTCTTTTCATGTTTAATCCATGTGTTGTCGGCAAGCTGTCAAGTACAACACTCGGCACATGGGTTACAAAAGGGTTAAGTATAGTGTTAAAAGTTATTGAGGTTCAAACCACCATCCATTCATTCACTCTTCATCTCATCATGAGTGTAGATCTGATTTTTATTGATTTTATATTTTGTGATCTGGTGCTATAGTGAAATATCTTAAACTAGTAGACAAGAAATTGGGTGATTTCCCCCCTTTAGCTGCCTTCCCGGTCATCTCTGGTTGCCTCATGCATCTCAAGACTAGGGAGTCTCGGAGTCTGAGTAAGTCTAAAATCTGGTGCTGTATTTTCAGTGCCGCTCAACGACGGTGAGTGGAAGCAGGTGGTGGCCGAGAACTACTACAACTTCACCCGTCTCATGGTGCTGGGGTCGTCGAAGGTCATAGAAGTACGACGGGGAAGGATACAAAGTTATTCTCTCGACCCGTACTATGGAAGCATATACCAACGTAAGATTGTTACACATACTATCTCTTGACCATTGTCATGGAAGCATTTTAAAAAGTTATTAGTGTTGGCACTTACACTCTTAATAAAACTAAATTATCAGTGTAAGACAGTGGCTGTCTCTAACACTGTTTTGTGGAAGTATATATCAACAAAAGGTTGTCAAGCAACATCATGTTCCCTCTTTTCTGACTTATGATTGGTCTTAGCATACCTGCATCTGTGATAAGTAAGAGGCTTTTTAATTTTAATCAAGAATGAACACAAAGTTTTTGTCTGGACCCTTTATCCCGGAAGTTTATATTAAAGTAGGATTATGTATTACATGAACTGCTTCTTCCAGTTTAGATTGGTGTTAGCTTTCCTCCTTCTGTGATAAGTAGTTAGCTTTTTGTTAAAACAGTTTCTGTTCGTTCAAATAAAGCCACATATCTAATGTATTCTCATTGCTGTTATCCCAAAATAGGTTGAGAAAAAAAGAAGTGTGTACAAAACGTAGCTTAAAATGTCTCTTAAAATATGTATTACATAGTTTGCATTGATTGTGATGCTTAGAGAAGTTTGATGAAGACTTGCAGGTTGAATACAAAGCTCTATGATATCATTGTTGCTTTTCAGCTGATTGTATTTTCATTTTTATCGGTAGTTCTATAGCATGTCTCATTACCAATAGTCTTGTGTGATTTATACAACTCATTTTAATTGTTGATCCTACCACATTTTCTGTTGTTGCTATTGCTAATATATAGTCATTGTTGTAGTTGATAAAGGCAATGATCCGACACCTATTCAGATTTCTCTCTGCTGCTCAACGCCATGAAGTGAAATGTGTATGTTCCGCTGTTAATAGATCTGTCAGAAAAGCACTTTGCCCTTTACCCATGACTCGTCTCCATCTCCCACACTCATAGAGATGGTATTCATCATATCTTTCCATCTCCTAACTCTACAAGGGGCACACCAAAAGTTTTTTCCCTGACCATGAAGGAATAAAGGTAGATAGCTGTGTAGTGGCCTCAAACAGTTACACTTTTTTGCCATCGGTGTAAGACCTTGAAAATAGAAGACCCTCTCATTGTCAGAAAACCAGCCCTCTACCGCTTCTTTGACCTCATTATCACTTTCAAAATGCCTTCCTTTAAAATCCTTTTTCAGTTTGGGGAATAAAAAAAGTAGGATGGGGCTAAATCTGGAGAATAGGGTGGATATGGCAAAATTTCATAGCCACATTCCCGCGCAGTTTTGGCAGCCTTTCTTGGAGTGTGTGCTGGCGCATTCCCGTGAAGCAGCAAAATGCTTTTTCGGATCTTTCCGGTGCATTTCCTCTGCGTTTTTCTTTAATAGCCTCTCATAATTTTTTTACCTGGTTAGAATAATGGTCTCCGGTGATCGTATGTCCATTTTCAAGATAAACTGTCATAATCACTCCATTTTGGTCCCCCCAAAAATGATAGCATCACTTTTCTACTTGATGGCTGCACTTTTGCTTTCTTTGGTGTGGGAGATGAGGTGATTTCCACTGCATTGATGCAGATTTTGACTCTGGATCGAAGTGGTGGACCCATGTCTCATCCATGGTAAGAAGTCTTTTAAAAAAAATTAGTTTCATGTTGTTACTTGCCTTGCAAGAACAAAAACTTCATTACTGCCCTCTACTCAATTTTCTACATTTATATGTTGAAACTGGAGAACAACATACCCTTGTTCGCTTACTGTATGTTGGTGCTAAAACCTGAGATCGGAAATTTTCCAAAATTTACATGCAATCTAGGAAGATAATTTTTGGCTTTCACCTCAAATTTCAGCTTTCTACCTTTATTCCTTCATGGTCAGGTAAAAAACCTTTGGTATGCCCCTCGTAAAGGTTGCTCCATCTATCCACACTTAAACCCATTTACACTTGGTATCTTTACATCTCCTAGCACGAAAGCTTTCTCCGTTCATCCACGCTTATGTTCTTTACACACTTCATCTTTCCATCCCCCACAATCACAGAGACGGTTTTCATCGCACGACCAGCACTGATGCCTGCTCCGTTCATTCATGCTTACATCGGAGGGGTCAAGGACGGTGCGTCTGCTACAGCACCGCTGGTCGGTTGTGTCAGGGGAATGAGGATCGGAGACTACGTCTTCCATCTCTCTCAGACGGCTGCGGAGTTGGGCAATGATACATGTACGTACTGTATGTTGTTATGACTGGAAGAAATATGTATAACTCTATTTGGCTATGTGTGCGATAGACGATGGAATGGGTGGTTGATGGGTGCTCTGGTATTTTTTTGCTCCATCTTTCCTATCAAACATCTATCGTCATCATCTCTCCTCCGTCTTTTATTTGTGCTTTACTCTTTTGAAACACCTCTAATCTTCAGCACTTATATGATCTATTTGTGTTGCGAGTGCAGTAAAACTCTTACTAAAACCCCCCTAAAAATTTAACAAGATGTTGGAGTTACTCTTTGTCTTGTAACCATGATTTTGTAAAATCACTGGTCACCTCTAACCACCAACATGTTCCCTCCCTGTGTCCATGCAGTGGTCTCAGACAAGTGTGAGAAGGGCTGCGACGAGGACACCTGCCACAACAACGGCTTCTGCGAGGAGCGCTGGAGAGACGGACAGTTCCATTGTGACTGTGCCGACAACGGATTCTCCGGACACAGATGTGAAATAGGTATACAATTTGTTGAACATTTTATGATGTAAGCATGATTTATTTCATTTTTTAGGCAGACTCAGCTTCAGCTCTGCCAGTCAGATGATTAAAAACCAGTTGAAATTGTCAAAGACAGCGAGTGGGCGGTTGGCGGGTGCTCTGGTGTGGTTTGCTCCTTCTTTCCTATCAAACATCTATCATCTTTATCTCCCCTCCTTCTTTTTTGTGTTTGTTACTCCTTAGTAACATCTCTAATCTTCGGCACTTATATGACCTTATTGTGTTGCAAGTGCCGTAAAACTCTTATGGAAAAAAAAGACAGCGACCCAATGTCAAGGAGAAAAGTGGCTGTCTTAGAAAGGTGGTATTGTGTGAGCACTGATCTCCTACCCAAGCTTGTGTGTTAAAGGTGAATGTGTAGAAATATCAATTAGTATGAGCATACAATATGGCATGTGCAGTCTACATTGTGAAGCTGACCTACTGTTTATGTGCTTTCAAAGTTTCACACGTTTATCAACAGCAGTTGACTAGTTTTTATGATATTAATAATAATAGATAGTAAATAGCATTTACATAGTGCATACCCCCGCTCAACAGCAAGCTCTGTGTGCTTTACATTATATTATTACCCCAGCAGACCATAAAACACTCTGAAACATTCTCAGCTTCCCGGGAAGGATACAGTGCAAGCAGCTGATTAAGCGCCCAAAAACTAAAAAACTGACAAGATCTTTTGTTGTCTAAAGCTTGGTACCCATTCTCACGTGGGTGAAGTGAGGAAAATTCATGTAAAGTGCCTTTCCCAAGGACACAATGACGGGCCCCTGACAGGATTTTTGCCCATGACCTTACAGTGGTGAGTCCGAGAGCCTAACCACTAGGCCACCGACACCACCACTCGTTCATTTGAACATACAGTCGGACCTACTCTTATAGTCACCTGTCCAAGTGATTCATTTATACTGACGGCCACTTCCCACTTTCCTTCTTGCATTTTTTTCTTCTATAAAGACATTACCCTAGATGTTCTCATGTCTGAAAAAACACTTATCTCCTCCACAATGGCTGGCTGTCTTGAACAATTTCAACTTTATGTGTTTTTTTCTCTGCGAGGTTAACCCACTGATTATTTACAATTTAAATGTCCTGCGCGTATTTGTAGCAGTTTTCTAAGTGATACACTCATACAGGTTGACACAATGATATATCAATTGTACATTGTGAGGCTGACAGTGTAAGCATTGAGTCACTGGAGAGTGGGTGCTATAGAAGTGATCGTTTTTATTATTATTATTATTTTTATTAATATTTTTTTTATTATTATTATTATTATTATTATTATTATAATAATCATACCATTTATGTGCATTCAAAATTTCCAGTTCATATTAAAATGGCAATCGTGTGTTCTGATGTGGTCCTCTGTAGAGCCCTCGGTAGAAGTGTACGGCAATACGGTCGTGCGACACGCGTTTGTGCTGCCCGTGATGGACCAGTACAGCCTCAGCGAGAGCCTGACCTTCCGCTTCAAGGCCAACCCCATCTCGGAGGTCGCTGACCCTATGATCATGGCTTACATCACAAGCTCGCAGTGAGTGGCTCACATCAAGTGTTTTATAATACCTTAGAAGGAGACAAATAACATGATCACAGCTCATGTCCAGTGATTTATTATACCTTCGAAGGAGACAAATAACATGATCACAGCTCACATCAAGTGATTTATTATACCTTAGAAGGAGACGAATAATATGATTATAGCAGCATGCATAAAGTAAAAATGATCACAGCATAAATCACAAGCTCTCGGTAGAGTTGGCCAATTTTCTTACAATGGTTTGCCTGTTTTATTTTTTGAGACTATTGAGAGACTTTGACTTTCCCCCCAGGTCCAAAGATTACATCATGGCAAGACTTGACCCTTCTGGGAGTGTGATGTTGGAGACAAACCAAGGAATCGGGATCTGTGAGTAACGCACTTTGTGTTTTTTGCCTTTCATTTAAGAAAGTAAACTACCGTATATCGCCATGAATAGGTTGTATGGATGGATAAGATGCAGGCACACTTGAGAGCAAAAACTTTTGTATAAATCAAATGTTCGTTGGATAAAATGCACCAACTTTTTCATGGCACTCACCATCACTATAGTGGATTTTTTATTAATAACCACACTTCAAAACAAAACAAATTTAGGTTGTTGTTTTTTTATAACTTGTTTTTAGTCAGCCATCTTAACTCTAGATATACTACAGAGCAACAAGGAACAGCCATTTTGTTTTAAGGTGATGATGTCCAGATTTTGTGGCATCATTTGCGTTCATTGTTTGCAAATTGAGGAGATTTTTGTAAGTATACAATTAAAAAGGAAAAAGAAGAGACTGGGGAGTGAATGAAGCTCTACATGAATCACTGAAAATGTGTAAATAAGCTCCAAAAAAAGAACAAATACTAATGAGAAAAAAGTGTTACGTTTTGCCCATTTTCTTTTCTCAGATCGAATCAAAGTCACTGGCAAGTTTGCGGACGGAAAACCTCACGACTTTGTCTACATCCGGGAAGGTTCGAACATGTACCTTAAGGTCAGTTTATTAAACAACTGTTTTGCCCATCATAGACTTTTCCAATGTGAGGAAGGCTACTTCCACAACCGTTGATGTCCAAAAACTCATTTGCTGTAAATTTCTGTTTGAAGTGTGTCACTAATTTCTGAATTTTGTAAGCTTAATGTTGCTAATTTTATCATTTCTTAAGCTTAACGTTGCTAATTTCTTAAGTTTTTAAAGCTTAGCATTGCCATGTACAGGGCTTATCATGGGCCAACATACATTTTTCTTTAATTGATCAGTATTCCTGAATAATTTGCTTACATTCAGCTGAGATGTTTTTGTAATTGTGTCGAGAAACTTTCAGGTAATTCCTCCTGCTTCTTGTTGCTTTGGGACACATTTCACATTCCACCGTAGACTTGACTGTGTGTAAAGTTAGGATGGTAGAGTGTGCACAGAACATACAAGTATTTATTAAGTTGCATATTTATAAGTGAAGGAATGCAAGCCATAGAGCAATTTGCAAATTAAACTTTTTAGTTACTTTTCTAAAAATGCACAACTGCACCTTAGGAATCAAAATCGTGCATGGCATTATTTGCATGGCTTAGAGGTGGTGTGTTTGATAATGATGTAGAACTCACACATCCATTCTCTATTCCCTGAAAGTAAACACTGTGTCTCTCAGGAGTTGAGTTCTGTGTCGACGTATTGTGCATAGTGGCATGCTGTAACTCTGAGAACAATTCCGAATGATTCAAACTGAATTATATCTGTTGTAGAGACTGGTGCAAGTCCTCTTTTTTTACTGTAGTTTTTCCTGTGTGTCTCCACTCCCATTTCGTCGTGTCAGTCGAGAGCTTTCAGATTTTCAAACGTGCTCCAAAAACTGCAGAGATAGAATGTTTTATCATTTACAATGTTTCAACCAAATACATTTATTTTAGAAGACTACTTGATGTGGTGTTTTTGCAGAGGCTGTACCTTTCCTGATGCAGCATTGTTTAAGCACTTTGTCTCCTTTGCCATAAATAGCAGTTCTGACAATCACATTGTAAGATTTTTAAATCACAGAAGTTTTTGGAGCATGAAAGTAGATGCTTTTTAGTGTCTTTTCAAGTAGAAACTGAAATTGACAGGGTTTAGGGATTAGAGACAGTAGACAGGCGGTGGGGGGGTGGTTAAATCTGTGTTGTGTCTAGTGTTCTATTACTCTCGAACAGCATGAATACAATGGAGGAGAAATACTTGAGTGTGGTGCACCCTCTCCAAGCAGAGCAGTTAGAGCCAGAATGGACAAAATTTCTCAGCATTTCAGCACGGGACGGTGTCGCAGAACGTTGCTCAAAGGAAAATCTCTTTGTTAGCTTTGTTATATTACTATGCTTCTGTGGGTATCTGATGAAGCATTGCGTGAAGGGAAGTTCCTTCTTTAGTTTTGTTTTATTGCTATGCTCCTGTGTGTGTGAAGGCAATGACTCATAGATGTGTCCCTGATGAGTTACCGAGTTCCTTCTCCGAGACCACCCGAGGGAAAACTTGTCTAACCTGTACTTTATCTTTGCATGCTGTCATTATGTCCATCAGGTGAAACCTCTAGATCCTTATGGAAATGTGATAGTAAGTACATGTCATCATGATTGTCACGGTATTCATGCCAGCTTTTGGTCGCTTTGCTTTCAAATCTTCAGGCTGCTCATTTTTCAACTTCGTATCTATTTAGCCATTTCCATATAGCTCTTTCCACATAGCCATTTCCATATAGCTCTTTCCACTTAGAGTCATTTCCATTTAGCTGTTTCCACTACACAGTTTTTTTACTTTTTTCTTGGCATTTCTAGAGTCCTTTTCACTACATTTTTTATACTGCTTTTAGCAAAACTATTTGTTATGGCTTTAGATTTTGGGGGTTTTAGTTTGATCCTTATGTTGTTCACTCAGTGAAAAAACTGTTAAAATTTGGGTAGAGATAAGATTGAGAAAATCACCAAAAGTTTGCATTTACAACTTCAGTAGGCCTATAGGAAATATTTACCTTTTTTTTTCAGTGCAGACACTTGCGCTTTTTTGAGGGCTGTTTTGTGTTCCAATTTTTGTTTCCTTCAATGTTCATAAGTGTGTCACAAATGACTGTTGTCAGTGACAATGCATGTGTTTATGCTCGTTTAAGTCAGTTAGAATCCTCTGTTAATGTCTGTATGAGTTGCTCATATTCATTATACTATAGTATCATGGGAACATGTAACTGACCATGCATCATTTGAGATAACAAATCAGATATTATGAGTAAGGAAAAACAGCCCACTAGGTGCAATTCAGTCATTTATAAGATATTATCATATAATAAAAATTAATAAACAATTTTTAGTAAAGGCAGGGGGTGGGCATGGGGGTGGTAATCTGTTGTTGTAAAATTGACTTTGTTCCTATGAAGAATCCTGCGTAGGGACAGGCTTAACTCAGTAGTTATAGGGTGAACTCCTGTGGAGATAGGTTTAAACCGAGTAATGATCCAATAGGTTTAACTCCATTAGCGATAGGTTTAACCCCAGTTTAACCCCAGTAGTGAGAGATTTAACCCCAGTAGTGATAGGTTTAACTCCTTTAGTAACAGGTTTAACTCCAGTTTAACCCCAGCAGTAATAGGTTTAACCCCAGTAGTGATAGGTTTAACTCCTTTAGTAACAAGTTTAACTCCAGTTTAACCCCAGCAGTAAAAGGTTTAACCCCAGTAGTGACATGTTTAACTTTATTTGTAAAAGTATTAACACCAATAGCTGTGGTTAGACATTTGCTTTTTTTGTCCTGGATCAGTTCGGCTCTACTTACGTTCAACTGACATGTTTTCGTGAGCTAAATACAGGACTGTATATAATATCCATGTAGTGCTACTAGGTCTATAACATTTTTTAACAAAGGTGAAGACTTGAAGAAACACTTTGTCTTAATCAAGCCTAGAAGCTGTCTCACTCCTTTAACATAGTTTATAGATGCTGCATGGTTGAAGACATTTCTTCTTTTTCGCATAACTTCTGCGCTGTATTTGGTGGCCTCAAGACTATTCACAGGCCTGTACATTGTGTATTTAGAATGATGTGCGTACATCCACAGTATGTATTATTGCACGTTGTAGCCCTATCAGTGAATCCTGTACCACAAGTCTCAATTGTGTCCCATTTTTTAAATTTTAAATCCAGTGCGATTGTAGTTCACTTTTTTCTCTTGAAGTCTGAAGTAAGGATATCTTAATTTTCATTGTCATTGGTTTAAGTCTTACATTAATAATTCTTACATTAATACTTCAAGAAAGATCAATTACAGTTTTGATTTCAAATTGAATGTAATGTCATACCTAGAAGACTTTAAAACTTCTTTTAATAATTCCACCCCATCCACCCCCCTCCCCCGAAGAAAACCTCAGAAAGGTTGTATAATAGCCAAAACATATGTGATTTATTTTTGACATTTTGAGAAACGATCCTTTATCTTTCCTGAAATATTTAATGCAAATTCTGTTGTTTAGGCTTTTGTACAGCCTTTTTCTAATGGTTTTGTAAAAATTTTGGGCATCTTGCAGCTTCAGTCGTGTATCCAATAATGTTCACTGTATCCAGGCAAGTTGAATTATAAGATTTTGTCAAGCTGAGTGGTGTTAGTTTTACAGTGATGACTGCTACTTGATAGTTCTACTTTAGTCAATTAGGGTAAGAGAGAGAACAGTCTGTAGTTAAAGAATGAAAGCCTTGTGATTGTCAGACAAAATTTGAAAATGTTTTAGAATAGTTAGCTCAGTAAAGTTTTTTAAATGACATAATGGTCAAAGTTTAAACATGAGTCCTTAGATTAACTTGGAATTCTCCCATTGCAGTTGGAGAAAGCGTAGTGAAGCAAAATAAAACACTTCCATTCATCATTTGTGCAACTGCTAATAAGAATTGGTTCAGAGGTATTTTGATTTGTTTTTAAGATTATGAAGTAAAGGGAACAAAGGAAAAAGAAGAGATGTCAGTTTTTGGATAATTTGAGTCGTGACATGTGTTTATGCACCTCTTCTGCCTAAAAGTTGATTAGTCGCCCAATATCAGTTGGGAAAACATGGGCTGTTAAGTATTTCATTTTCATTTTTCTAGAAATATCTAATGGTCACATCCTTTATTCTTCCCTTGCGCCTTTCAAATGCTTTATGTTCACATTTAAGTAATTTGATCTTTTAAGGAGCAGGCTGCTTCAATTCAACATTCCTAATCAGGGGCAACCCGGGCTGTCTGATATACAACATCCCTGCAGACCAACTGAGATATTTGATCTGAAAACTTCCCCACCTGGGAATCGAACCCATTTCCTTTTTGTGCAGTGGTGAAGAGCTTAACCATTAACTCCCAGAGACCGGTGTAGACTGGGTGCTCAATGTTTTGGCTTAGTCTCCATCATTGCAGACCAAGCCGCTGACTTTTTGGTTTGTGTTTGTCTCTGGCAGGTGGACCGGATCAAAGAAGCAGACATCAACTATCCGGACTATCCCCTGAACAGCATCGACACAATCTACATCGGGGGATATGTACAAGATCACAACGATATTCAATACGTCTCAAACTTCTCTGGATGTATTTCAAGTAAGTTTTTTCACTTCAATATTATCTTTTCAGTGTGTTGTGTTTTAGCGCATATAAATGACTACTTGCACCGCATGCTTCCCAGGAAGTTGAGGTTGTTTCAGAATGCTCTCAGGTCTGCTGGGGTAATAATATAGATTTTGAAGCTCATAGAGCTTGCTGTTGAGAGGGGATTTGCGCTATACAAATGCTATTTATTATTATTTTAATATTACACATTCTGAGTTGAAGCAGCCTCACCCCTAAATGATTTGAATTGTGTTGATGGGGGGGGGGGGAATTAAAACCATTTACACTTACATTTTCAGGCTGGTATTGAGACTGAATGAGAGGTACTGTCCTCATATTCAGAAACTTGCTCTTAAAACATCTCAATGAAATGGTTCTTGTCATTCAGAGTGTTTTTGGAAGTTATTTTGGTATTCCCAAGAATTCTTTTTCAAAACAAAGAACAAATTTGTTCATAGGTCTTTCATAGGAAGCAAACTTAGGTGGGTGGTCACCTGAACTATAAATCTTTATTGCCCAGATGCTGACACATCAGCTTGGTGTTTTACCAAACACACACACATACACACACGCACGCACGCACACACACACACACACACACA